CTTCTGCACACTTGTTGGGGCCCAGTTGGTGCACTACAAGAATTCAGATCTCCATGGTTGCAACAGGTGGAAGTTCCTCAAAAGGATTTATGCAAGCACAAGCACTATCCCTTTAAGTGGTATTTAACTTGCGCAGTGCCCCTTTAAGGAAAAGATGAGATAGTGGTTTTAAGCAAGAGGTTTAAACTGTAGGCAGAGGCACTTATCGATAAGGGGTCAATTCCTCTGTTGGCCGCAGCAGCAAATGGCAACAATGACAAGTGGCCCTTGATGGATGTAAAACCAATTGCAGAAGAAAACAGTGGTTTGGCTTGACCCACAGAGGACGTACACCGCAGAAGGATCTCATGACTGGATTATGCCGGAGATGTGTTGGCTAATAGGTCGAGTGAACTAGGTCTCAACTTGTATAACTGGTGAACAATGTAAGTAACTGTATAGAGAATGGCTGATGCAAGAGGATGTCAATGACAACTTAATTGGCTGGAGACTGGGACCCTCTTCCCCAATCTGTGGCATCATCCGAGCGCTATTGGTTTCATTGTGGAGGGGGGCCCCCAGCTGTTCCATGGTTCCTCCTGTAGAGTTTGTTCCTGACTGTAGCATTCCAGGCCTCTGGCCAACAGGGTAGTTCTCCAGATTCTTTGGCAATGTCAGTGATTGGCTTTTCCTCCCTCTTTCTCTACTCTCTCTCTCTGTGGTTTGGTCTGGTCCTCTGGCATTCCACACAACTCTCTCCCCAATGAACAGCCTTTTAACAAAGTCCTGCAGTTCAACCTACAAAATCCATAAAGCCTTTCTCCAGGATGTGTGCCACTGAGTTGCAGAACACTGTCTTGTGTCTCTTTTAACATCCTGCAATCTGAATAATAGCAGGGCGTTACAGATGTGGTACAATAGGAAACCACAGCATGAGTTTTGCAGCTCACAAATTTACAGAAATTTTGTGATGCAGTCATATCAACATAAACCTGAAACTCAAAGAAATGTTTATGAATTGTGGAGCCCATGCCATTAAGACTTGAAAGTAAAAGCAGACCCAATCTAATATCAGTATACTGTATGTCAAAGGAAGAGAGGAAAAGATACAAAAGAAAGACAAAGAGGAGGAAAATGAACTCCTCACATGAAGAAGAAAATGAATGGGATTTTAAGGGTGCATAAACTAAAAAGAGATATAGGCTAAAAATTACAATGTTTATTTTTCAACAATAAAAAAAATCTCATATTAAAAGAAATACAGTTGAGTATACCAAACTTAATGGTAATACTTGTTCAGTAATATGTATCTGGTGTAATATTTCTCAACATGTTTTGCCTATTTCAGGCTTCTTCAGGGGATATTAAATATAATACCTACAACAACAACTCATGTTGATTACATAATATGTCAACAGAATAAATACCCTGAGTACACAGGTAAAACACATTTAGATTAGTGCAAGTTATAAATGATATACATCTGTCTGTTTTATGATTTCTTCTCAGACTTGTTCGTTTGTCTCAGAAACAGGAATCAGGTTACTTTTGAATGTTTGAGTGGATTTTTCAAACAAAATCCTTGGTAATAATTACACAAGCTATCTTCTATAACAATGAGAACTTAGATAGCATTGTTGTATGTTGGGCTCTTCTATTGTTCTACATTTAATTATGTAACTGACATCAACAAGTCAATTATGGGGCAGCACAGTGGCTAAATGGTTAGCACTTCCGCCTGGCAGTACTAGGGGTCATTGGTTCAAATCCCAGCCACGGCACCACCTTCCTGGAGTTTGCATGTTCTCCCTGTGCCTGTGTGGGTTTCCTCCGGGTACTCCAGTTTCTTCCCACACTCCAAAGACATGCCGGTAGGTTAATTGACTCCTGTCTAAATTGTCCCTAGTATGTGTATGTATGAATGTGAGTTAGGGACCTTAGATTGTACACCCCTTGAGGGTTAGGGATGGATGTGCATGTACAATATACAGTTGCAAGAAAAAGTATGTGAAAATTGGGATTACGTGGAGTTTTGCATGAATTGGGCATAAAAAGTGCTCTGAATGTCATCTAAGTCACAACAATAGAAGAACACAGTCTGCTGAACATAATACTACACAAACATTGGATGTTGCCATGGTTTAATTGCACATAACATGTAAACATTCACAGTGCAGGGAGGAAAAAGTATGTGAACCTTTGACTTAATAAGTGGTTGACTACCTCCTTTGGCAGCAATAACCTCAACCAAACGTTTTAGCCTGTAGTTGCAGATCAGATCAGGGGCCTGGACACAACGATCTTGATACAGAACATAGTTTCAGGAAGTAGGTATCATTTTTGGACCACTGTTCATATGACTGTTTCAGTGTAGCAATATAATGTCTGGTGTGACTTGCTCTCTTACATGCATATTTCAATCGGGTTGAGGTCAGGACTATGACTGGGCCACTCACAGAAGGCGTATTCTGTGCTGTTGCAGCCATTGTTTTGTTGAATTAAGCCATTTTATGCATTGGGTCATTGTCCTGTTGCATCACCCATCCTCTGCGATGCTTCAGTTGGCGGACAGATGGTCGTTACGTTTTCCTTGCAAAAAATTAAAAGAAAGTACAGAGAGCAACTCTGGAATTCATTTTCCAAGCATCAATGACAACAAAGTCCGTCCAGGCCAACATGAGGCAGCAAAGCAGCTCCAAACCATGAAGTTCCCTCCGCCATGTTTTACAGTGGGGATGAGCTCAGAACCAGACACTTTTGAAAAAGTTGTTGGTGTGCTGTGGGGTATTACAGCTGAGGATTATCAGAGACATTTCATATGTTGTCAAATTTTACCAGTCTTTGCTTTCCCGCATCCTCGTCGGAGCATCAGTTATGGACTGTAGCACAACATAGACACAGTCCTGCAGGAGACTGGTGTTCTTCCCAAAAACTCAATCTCTATAGGAGGATTCATCCCATGTCACAGTATATTTTGACACTAGTGCTGTGGAACATCCAGGTGCTCTTTTGCAAACTTCAAATGTGCTGCAAAATTCTTTTTGATGGACAGCAATGGCTTCATCCGTGGTGTCCTCTAATGTACTCCATTTTGTTTAATGTTTTCCTTATTGTAGATTTAAGTCAATAAAAATGTTAGCATGTGCCAGAGATGTTCTGTAGGTCTTTAGCTGACCTGGTTTTCTGATCCTGTATATTCTTTGAAACTCTGCCTGTTTACCTCATGCAGCATTCTGCGCTGTGCCTCTTGCAGTCATTTTTACCAGGACGACCTGACTACTCTTGTATTGTAGGGAGAGGTAGCAAGAATGCTAAACTTTCTGTCCATTTTGTAGACAGTATTGTGTCTTACCGTGGACACATTATATCTGAACATCAAGCTTTTGTGTCAGTCCACACACTTTTGGTCTTACCCTTTCCACAGATTACAACAAGGCCATTCTTGACCAAGTGGCTGCACAGGGAAGCAATTGGCTTGATGCTGGGAAGGTGCATTCTGAGAGTTGCTGTATTTTCTGCTTCGAGGACATGGTTCACATTATCAGACAGTGCTGAAGGAAACCAGTAAACCCAAAACAGGTGTGTGTTCTTTTAAGGGCAGGACAGCTGTCAGCAACACATCCAATATCATCACACCTGATTGGAGTCAAGGTTGGCTCACTCCTGGCTCCAATTAGAGCTCTGGTAGAAGTCATTAAGCTAGGGCTTCACATACATTTTTCATGTCCCTGCATTATGTGAATGTTTACATGTTATGTGCTTTGACCAGACACCATAGCAAAGTCTAATGTTTGTGTGTAGTAATATTGCACCAGCAGGACTGTGTTCTTCTATTGTTGTGACTTAGGATTCTTCCTGACGTTGTTGAGCACCCAGTATTTTATGCCCAACTTTCATGCAAAACTCCACGTAATCCCAACTCGCTTCACACATACCTGCCTTTAACCCTTTCTCTGTAGCAACTGCTCCTTTCCTCTGTTCCATCCTCAGCTCATGCAAAACTGTCTTAGCCCAAGGGTTCACATACTCCATTGCAACTGTATAAAAAGCGCTGCGTAAATTACAGCGCTAACTAAAAAGTAAGGCTGAAATAAATAAACAAGTGAAGTTAATCAACAGTTCTAGAACAATAGCTTGACCTTCTGACAAAATTCAGTGCCATTTAGGGGTCGAATTGGAGAATATTTCTGCCATTGAAAAAAACAGTATTGAGGTGCCCACTTTCGAAAGAAACCAATCCATATGGGATGGTAAAAACCTTTCCAAACAAAAAAGATGACTTAACACCAAGGAAGATCTCTGCCAGAACCTGAAGACGCTTTTAGCCCAATCTCCTGCAACCATTTTAAGAGCAAGCCTGGGGCCTCTATAATTGGGGCCCGTAACGTTTAATATTGTATACAGAACATAGTTTAGCTAGGAAATCATTTTGCTTGTTATTGCAATTTAAACTTTACTACAACACCACTCGGTGCCCGCAGTCTTGCCAGATGACTCGATGCCCGCTGTTCCGCCAGATGACTCGGTGCCCGCAGTCTTGCCAGATGACTCAGTGCCCGCTGTCTTGCCAGATGACTCGGTGCCCGCAGTCTTGCCAGATGACTCAGTGCCCGCTGTCTTGCCAGATGACTCGGTGCCCACAGTCTTGCCAGATGACTCAGTGCCCGCTGTCTTGCCAGATGACTCGGTGCCCGCTGTCTTGCCAGATGACTCGGTGCGCCGCCCGCTGTCTCTTGCCAGATGACTCGGTGCCCGCTGTCTTGCAGATGCTCGGTGCCCGCTGAGATGACTCGGTGCCCGCTGTTCCGCCAGATGACTCGATGCCTGCTGTTCCTCCAGATGACTTGGTGCCCGCTGTCTTGCCAGATGACTTGGAGCCCGCTGTCTTGCCAGACGACTCGGTGCCCGCAGTCTTGCCAGACAACTCGATGCCTGCAGTGTTGCCAGACAACTCGGTGCCCGCAGTCTTGCCAGACGACTCGATGCCCGCTGTTCCGCTGGATGACTCGGAGCCCGCTGTCTTGCCAGATGACTTGGTGCCCGCTGTCTTGCCAGATGACTTGGTGCCCGCTGTCTTGCCATATGACTCGGCGCCCGCAGTCTTGCCAGATGACTCGGCGCCCGCAGTCTTGCCAGATGACTCGGCGCCCGCAGTCTTGCCAGATGACTCGGTGCCTGCTGTCGAGCTTAAAGACCCGATGCTCACTGTTTTGCCAAATGACTCGGTGCCCGCTGTTTTGCCAGATGGCTCGGTGCCCGCAGTCTTGCCAGATGACTCGGAGCCCGCTGTCTTGCCAGATGACTCGGTGCCTGCTGCTCCGCCTGGTGGCCTGGTGTTTGCTGCTCCGCCTGGTGGCCTGGTGCCCGCTGCTCCGCCTGGTGGCCCGGTGCCTACTGCTCCGCCTGGTGGCCAGGTGCCCAGCCTGATGTGCCTCTGCCTGGTGCCCAGCCTGATGTGCCTGTCAGGAATGGACTCGCCAATAGTGGTGGGACTCACCTGTCTTGTGGGTTGCAGTTCCAGGACTGGCCAGCGGGTGCTCTCAGCAACCAGAGGTTCACTCCGGCAATTAGCCACCACCTGGGGCTGATTGCAGGTGGTGTATTTAAGAGATGGCCAGACCTGCAGTCTGTGCCTTGTTGTACTGTTTGCTTGGCCCTGGTTTCCTGATCCTGTTACTTCTGTCCTGACTCTGCTTGAACTCTGCCTGTACCTGACCACTCTCCCGCCTGCTCCTGGTACTCCGTTTGCCCGTTTGCTACCGACCCGGCCTGCCTGACTACTCTTGTATTGTAAGTTGTTATCTGTTGGAGGTTTGGTTCAGTTTGTTTGCACTGTGTTTATGTTTAGTTTTGCACTGCGTTTGTATTGTTAGTCTTAATAAATTATATTATTTTTACTATATCTGAAGCCTGCGTTTCCCTGTGTCAGTCCACACACTTCTGGTCATACCCGCATCCCTGACAGTGGGGAGGCAAGGAAGTCTGGGATTACATCTGGAAGAAAGCTCACTCCCGCATCATAAAAGTGGGCCATGCTGACGCACATGTGCCCCTAGTGCCAGACACCGAGAAACTTTAACAGAGTGGTGGATGAAATCACCAAGGTAAATGCAGTTGTACCAATTGATCTTGTCTTGATGAACTTGGCCAACTGGGTCCACAAGCAATCTAGATATTTGTGACAGAAAGCAGCATATGAATGGGCACAGCAGAGAGGATTGCCTATATCCATGGACATTATAAAGATTGTAATAGGGAACTGTACAGTGTGTGGAGAAGTGTTACAATGGCTATTACAAAAGTACTCCACCAGGTCGATTAAGAGGGGCAAGAGGCCTGCAGAGATTTGGCAGATTGACCTCATCAGTCCTCTGCCCCGGGGAAACAATGGCCTGAGATATTGTTGCACTGCATTGGACACCTATTCAGGACTTTTGCTTGTTCATCCTTGCAAACTAGCAGATCAAGCTGCAACACTTCAGCTGTTTCAGAAACTTGTCCTTGTTTATGGCTGTCCTAAACAAGTTCAAAGTGATAATGGCTAACATTTCAACAGATCACTAGTACAGCAATGGGCCAGAGAGTCTGAGTCAGAGTGTACTGGTTGTGCCACATCCCATACCATCCACAGGCAGCTGGTTTGATTGAAATGGAAAGGACCAGATACACAAACTTACACCCACACGCACACTAAGGGAGTGGGATCGGGTCCTTACAGAGGCAGTTTTGTTGTTAAATTCTAGGCCAATAGCCAAAAGTATATCACATGAGAGGATGGTGAAAGGATGGTGGGAGGGTGGGGCACAGATTCCACAGCTGGAGTTCAATATTTACATAAGGTTCCTGAAAGAACAGGGTTTAAGACATACCAAGTTTATGCGTCCCATGACAGTATCTCTGGAGGAGCGGAGTGGGCGATTTGGGCGATATCTGCGGATGAGGTTGGAAATGTAGCTAGGGACAGTAATGTGGATGGCTTTGTAAGCTGTGCTTAGTATTTTGAATTTTATACATTGGTGTCCTGCCTTCTCTGCAGTTATGAAAGGGTTACAGAGGATAACAGGCAGTATAACCTTTGATGTCCACACAGTAACGAGTCGATGATTAATAACCGATGATCTTTTACTGATAACATGTGAACATAGTACATGAAGTGTGGATGTGAATGAATGTGAATGTGGTAAAACTGGAATACAAACAGAATAAACAGACATGAGTACATATCTAACTACCTAGCTATATGCATAACATTCCTCAGTACATAGGAGGGGTACTTACAAACTTTGGGGGTCTAATCGAGCCCATATATGAAGAGGGAACAGCATCCCACATTTACTCGCATAGTAGAATTTCTTCAGTCTGAAGAGATGAGGTCACTTCCTCCCAAGTTAGCAAACAGGAAGTCCCTGGCCTTAAAGGGGACAGACACTGCTGAAATGCTAAAGAATGCCTTGTGTAATACAAGGCAGCACACTCCCCACCTGGCATAATAATGATATGCCACTATTAAACTCTTGGAAGGAGTAAAACGACTTCCGTGATGGGTCTAAGGTACACCTTAGGGGTGCCCGTTTTACTACTCTGACCTCTACTTTCCTGACTCTGCTATCACTGCTAGCATCAGTCCCCACAATGAGTCCAATTGGCCACTCGCTCCTGTGGGCCTGAGAGTCTTTTAGTAGAACAACATCTCCAACTTGTAAGTTGGGCTTGTCGGCTTGCCATTTGTTGCGTGGTTGGAGGGTCGTCAGGTACTCCTGCCTCCATCTCTTCCAGAAGATATTGGCTAGGCTTTGAACTTGTTTTCATTGCTTGGTGTACAAGTCTTTAAGATCAAAGTCCCCATTGGGAGCTGTCACCATCTCCATCTTCTGGGTCAGCAACGTTGCCGGTGTCAAGACGGCTGGCATCTCTGGGTCGGTAGACACTGGGACCAAAGGTCTGGCGTTCATGATAGCCATGACTTCAGCCATCAGCGTGGTTAAGACTTTGTGTGTGAGACGAGTAGATCCAATCTTTAGAAGCATTGCATCTAGAATGCGACGAGCTACTCCAATCATCCTCTCCCAAGCTCCTCCCATATGTGAGGCATGAGGGAGGATTGAAGATCCAAGTGCATCTTTGGTTTTGAAGATAGTTACTTGTCTCTGAGTCTGTTGCAACGATCTTCAATTCTTTGCAGGCTCCAATAAAGTTTGTGCCACAATCAGAACGAATCTGTTTTGCTGGTCCTCGAATGGAGAAAAATCTTCTCAAGGCATTGATGAAGCTTGAAGTAGATAGAGACTCAATTACCTCAATGTGAACTGCTCTGGTACTCATACACGAGAAAAGAACAGCCCAGCGTTTGCTCTCTGCACTGCCTCCTCTGGTCTTGCGAGAAGAAATGTTCCAAGGACCAAAAACGTCCAGGCCCACATTTGTGAATGGAGGATCTGAAGCCAGCCTGTCTGGAGGTAAGTCTGACATCTTCTGGACTTCAAGTTTTCCTCTGATTTTCTTGCAAGTTACACATTTGTTAATCACACTGGAGACTAGTCTTTTACCTCCTAGGATCCACAATCCAGCTGAACGGACTGCTCCTTCAGTGAGGTGGCGACCTTGATGTGCAACTTGCTCGTGGTGGTGTCTTGTCAGAAGAACAGCAACGTGATGATTCTTGGATATGACAATGGGATGTTTTTCTAGAATAGTCGTATCAGCTGCGGGTAGACGACCTCCAAGTCTCATCACTCCATCTTCATCAAGGACAGGGTTCAACTTTTTGAGCGGGCTGTGTTTAGAAAGGTCTTCTTTCTGAGAAGACATTGAATTTCTTCCTTGAAGGCTTCCTGCTGAACACATCTGATAATGGTGACATTGGCTTGCTCAAGATAGTCATTGTTACCCTGGTCAACACTGGCTGTTTTGCTGAAGGATCTGGCCAAGCAGATAAGTTTCCATATGGCACGGATGAGTGACTTCCAGTTGGAAAACCTTTCGAACTTATATGAGCCAAGACCTTCTCTGGTGGTTAGAGTCTGGTAAACTGCAACTAGAGGTCTTTCTTCAGTTTCTGGTCCAGTCAAGAAGGATGGACCTGTGAACCAGTTAGTCTGTTTGAGGATAGCAGCTGGTACCAGTCTAGTCCCATGGTCAGCAGGGTTCTTGTCTGTACTGATGTGATGCCACTGTTCTGGACTTGTACACTTTCTGATACGTGTTACTCTGTTTGACACGTATGTGTAGAATCTTCTTGAAGCGTTGTGGATATAACCTAAAACAATCTTGCTGTCTGTGTAGAAGTTCACTGCATGGATCTCGCTGTCCAGTTCTGCAATGAGTAAGTCTGCCATCTCCACAGCTAGGACAGCAGCACAAAGTTCTAAGCGATGGACTGTGTGAGCAGGTCTTGGAGCCAGTTTGGACTTTCCCAAGATGAATCCTGCATGGCTTTGTCCCTGAGTGTCTATGACTCTAAGGTAGGCTACAGCTGCTATAGCCACGGTGGATGCATCTGAAAACACATGTATCTCTCTTCGTTTTGTAGCAGACAAAGAAACAGAGACGTATGGTCTTTGGATGCTAAGTCGCTCAAGCTCCAGCAAAGAGTCTTTCTACAACTTCCATTGCATTTCTTTCTCTCCAGGTAGAGGTGTGTCCCAATCACTTTGTTCTAGCTCAGTTGTAATCTCTCTCAAAAGAGCTTTGCCTTGCATGGTGATGGGTGCTACGAACCCCAAGGGATCGTAAAGACTGTTGACCGTAGACAAGACACCTCGCTTTTTGAAAGGCTTCTCTTCCCTGGATACTCGGAAGGTGAAGCTGTCAGTTTTCAAGTCCCAACTAAGCCCTAAGCTTCTTTGAAGGGGTGGTGACTCTGTACCTAGATCTAGGTCTTTGAGGTCTTTTGCACGGTCTTCTGCTGGGAATGCTTCCATGACTTTGCTGTTGTTTGGAAGCCACTTTGTGCAGTCTTATGTTAGATTCTGCTAGCAAGTCTCTAGTGCTTTTCAAAATGTCAATGGCTTCTCCACTATTGGAGAAGGAAGCAAGTCCATCATCTACATAAAAGTTTTTCATAACAAATTGTTTGGCTTCAGGGTTGTGTCTGTCACCTTGCTGCGCTGCTCGTCTCTCATCAAGTTGTAGATAGCGACAGCTGGTGAGGGACTGTTCCCAAACACATGTACTTTCATCCTATACTCTATGATACCTTTGTTGAGGTCGTTGTCTTCATACCATAGGAACCTCAGGTAGTCTCTGTGGTCTTCACGGACAAGGAAGCAGTAGAACATCTGCTGTACATCTGCTGTTACTGCAACAAGTTCTCTTCGGAATCTGATAAGGACTCCAAGAAGTGTGTTCAGGTCTGGTCCGCTGAGAAGTACATCATTAAGGGAAATACCTTCATGCTTTGCACTGGAATCAAATACTACACGTATCTGACCTGGTTTTTGAGGATGGTACACTCCGAATATTGGCAAGTACCAGCGTTCTTGTGTTTCATGCAGTGCTGGTGCTTT